CCAATTTACGAGGTCCACCATTATCCCTGCGATCCTTTTAAACGGGTATATCTTGAATTGTGTTGACTCGTGTGTCTTGCTGGCGACAAAATTTTTTTCAACCCAATGTAGAATCCTTTCTAATTACAGTTCTGATAGATAGATCAAACGAAGTTGTAATATCGTTTCCAAAACCTTCGGCAGGCCTGATTTGAGATCACTGAAGAAGACTCTATAAGCGGAAAGGACTAGCGAAGCTGATCAAATTACTGACAAAACTTAACTGGTATTGCCATACAAATTAACTGCGGCTTAGGTTGGCAAAGACCGATAATTGAACGTAAGGTTTATCAGTGTCGAATCTGTAAACGAACCGAAAAGAAAAAGCTTATCTGTTTCGTATCAATCGTATGGTCACCAATTGTATGGACTATGATTAAGCTTGGATTGTTCAACAACAGGTTTACAGATCTACTAATTATTAATTTAGCAGGTTCCCAAGTACATACTTGGGACATAAACAATATTTTTATTAAAATAGAAAAATGGTGTAACAGACGTATGGTACAGGGTGTTTCAGAAAGGATAACTTACCATCGCGCTTGCAGGGCTGTCATTGTTTTACCAAAAAATACCTTTAGGTTACTACCAGTTATTATTATTAATACTATTATTAGCTATCTTTAACGATTTTGCTTTGAATTGCTTGTTTTCATTAAAATCTGCAAATATGACATTTCTTCCCTATAGTTTTCACCATATGAAAGAATTTGATAGATGATTATTTTTTTCAATCAGCGAGATTAACATAAACGATGTTTACTTTAGCCGTAAAAAAGTTAACAGACTCAAATTCTACTTGCCATTGAAAATTGTCAGCTTTACTTCGTTGAAGAATTAATTACTAATCGTCATTTTTTACCATTCTATCAGGCCTTCATTATGTCAGTTCCCGAACGTTGCTTTAACCCTTTTCTCCTGGTGGTGCTAATGCGCCAAACTGTTCATGCCTCCATGTTTTTGCCGTCACGATCAAACAGAACTCCCTATCATCTCCTATTCAATTCCGTTATGGCCGTAATACCTGGAGTACTATGGTTTTGTTCTCTATGGAGGGGCCGTGTATTAACAGAATGAGCGCGTCATTAATTTCTCTCTCATTTGGTCTAAATTCATTTGGTAGCAATCTGTCTGCTTGCTTGCCCCTCCATGTGGGAACGAGAGGATGCCGCCTGTCTGTATCATGCTTCCTAGTAGTCACTGTCGGCGGTTTTGTTCGAGGGGTAAATAGCCGAATAGGCTCTTAACCGTGCAGGCAGGCAACAGCAGCGGCGGGAAGTTGTTGGCAGCAGCCCCATAGCTGGGAGAGGGCAGTGGTTCAGTGTAAACATGGCAGGTGGAGCTGGCTCTGCGGCTTCTTTCCTCATCTATCTAACTCTCTACTTATGTCTGTGTATCCACAATGACAGTGTAGCTGCTGTTGTCCAAGGTCCCTTCGTTTATATGGTAGAACACAGATGGTGGCCAAATTACCGTAGGAATCATACGAGGACAAAGTGCCAGTCGGAAACTAAAACCCAGTTACGGCAAACGAGGGGCTGGTTTGCTATAGAGGCTTATAATAGCCAGCTCTGTCCGCTCGGCCTCCCGCCCGCCTGTCGATCTGTTTGTTTGTCCTAGTGGAGAGAGTCTACGGCGGCAGTAAGAAAACAAACTGCCGGTACGGCTGCCTTCATCGCCGCCAGCTTTGCCGTAGGTGAACGTTACGTCGCTGGAACTACCGATGTCCGGCTGTCGTCACCATCCACCGCTACTACCAGGCTTTTGCTAGCGTTTTCTCTGCTAGCGCGGTCCAGTAGCGACGGCACAAACAGCAGCTGCGGCAGCCACCGGCCACGAATAGCGAGCTAAGAATAGGCCGCTGTGGGGAGCAGTTCGACGGCGCTAACGCTGACGACAACGACTAGTGTTGTTATGGTGTGAGGACTTCAGGCAGCCAAAGCAGTGTCGTTCCAGTAGTTAGTGGAGTGAGTGCTGGTGCCAAGGGTTCCCGTGTGTCATGGTTTTGCTGCTGGTTTTGGTCAAGGGATTGTTTCTGTGGTGTCAATAGCCGATGGCAGGAAGCAGCTAGGAGAATTGCCCGGTCGTATTCGTCGTTGTTGTTGCCGGAGATACAAGAGAGTAGTCGGCGGAGACCAGCGCCGAAACCCGGCGCAGCTGCCGCTGTTAACACTGCTATTGAGCAGATCTTTGCATCTGACCGTTTGCATCAAAGAGATCTCCGTCAGATTAACAGGCGCCAGCTCCGCCAGAAACAAGGATAACAACCGAGTGGACTAACGGAGTGTCGACGTCAACTCGCCGCCAACCGATATCACAGCCATTTCGCACCAGTCGAAGCAAAACCAGTCAATCGGTATGTGTGTGAGTGCACCAACAGATAGGTGAGGACAGGGAATAGAAAACGGTGTTACAGCTTCCCTGCCCGTCGTTTCCACCTAGGATGAGTTCTGCACAAACGTGCACACGAGCAGAGGAAATGATAAAACAACAACAGCATGACGTCAAATTCGTGAATAACGTGTGTTAGTAATAGCCTATATGTCAGTAATCGATCGAGACCGAAATCCTCGTCTTTTGTTGTTTCTATACAACTTTTTTTTTTTTTATATTTCAATACAACTCGCATTTCACACAATTATCAGCTGACGTAGACTTCGAGTTGAAACACTGTGATTGCCTCTGCTGAAGCGCTTACTTCTGTCACTGCTGCCACCAGAACTTTTCCAAGAGTTACCTCGTAAGCTATTGACTCAAGTGGAGTCGGAGCCAAAAGAGTTGTAACGGCTCTCCGGTTCTCGCTTCAGAGTTCTCTCCGAGCTGACAGGGCGCGGCGCGCTCTGAGCCCGCCACAGAGAGTGATTTCGTTCGTTTGTTCGAGTGCAGAGGGGTGGCACAACACGAAGAGTCCTCTTGCTGAGGCTATCGCTGTTGCTGCTCATAATAGGCTAACGGTGCCGACGACTTCAATTCAGCTGTTGCTGTCGTTCTTATAAGAATGATATAGAGGCTGAGCAAAATTGATCCGGTTAGGCGCTAATACGCATGTGTGGATGTGTATAATCTGTCTGTTTCTTACCGTGTAGCCGAATGACTTGGCCTAGATTAAGACTACTGAATCAAGTTCAACGAAATCAATCCAATAGCAGTTCAGCAACGATGACGTATCAATGTGGTCACTGACCACTTCGAGGGGCACAGATGCCCTGCAGTTGTCGCGTTCAGCAAAAGTAACGATCCAAGGAATACGGCAAAGCGTGCTTACAGCCCCATTCTCGAATGTGATTGGTTGAGTGTTATTGTTATTGCTGCGTCAGTCTTTGGTTCTGCTGTTAAAATAACATGAAACATTGAAATAAGTTTCAACTAGTTTCGATCGCTCAAATGCCTTTTTTCTTCTGCTCGATTCAATGTCCGTGCATACACCACCGAGATAATTATATCTTCCCGCGGTACGAAGACTCGAGTGCCTACTAATGTTACTGCGTTGTTTGACTGCTGAGATGCCTACCTCCAATTAAGCCCTATCGCCATTATTTTCTTCACCAATCGCCGAGGTCTCAAACCCGAGAGTCGGCAGTTCGTGTGTTTGTGTGCAGTTCAAGTGTTCGTTCATGCTTGATTGGTGTTTGTGGTCCCCTTGCTTGTCCTGTTTAGCTGGACGCCGGAAGTCCAGAGGACAGCTGCAAACGCAGCTACAGTAGTCAAGAGAACTGGATTAAGTGGCGGATATATAGCACATCTACGAGTTCTATGGTAGCGTCAACCGTAGAATGGCGCTTTTTGCAGCAGTAGGGGTAATGTGGTTACCAGCAGAGTTTGTCTGGTCCATCGTGGTGCTACTGGCCTCGGCCGTGTCACTCGTATTATGCGTGTGCGGCCGGAAGGGCAAAAGCGAATCGGCCGGCAGCAACAAGTAAGTTTTGTTTCTCACCTACCTTATTTTAATTACGGATATTATTATTATTTATTCTGCACAAAGTTATGTATTAAGCAGCACCGGATCATCGATTTGTGCATTGCTGGCATAAGGTATGGCGTCTAATTGATTGATTCATAGGAGTATTATGATAAAAATTGGTCCGTAAACCTCATTTTTAGCCAATATACATATATAGCCAGGTTTCGTAGAGAAATACGGACGTTCAGGCAATATGAAAACTTCTGTAGCGATGCCAGATGTGAAGATATTACGTCAGTTTGCGCAAGTGCGAGCTATGTGAAGCTTGGAAATACTACGTGTGTTTTATATCGAGTTAGCCTATCGACTGATCTACCCACCCTTGTATACAAACCATTAAGAGCCACATCCGACTTTATAGGTGATAAAAACGAACCATATAGAAACTATCGATAATATAATTACGTTACTGTTATTATACGTATATATGTCATTTTGTTAAAACACATTTTCTTCTGTTGTTTCTTATTTGCGTCGGTGCTAGGCCAGTACCAGCTTTTGCCGCCACAACTCTCCAACCGTGCGGTACAAATTTTTCACAAATACATCAGCGGGTTAGCACTCCTCGCCTTTCTAACCTTATCGAAGTCAATTATTACCGAGAATTATTACCTAGCATGTACAAACGTTTTGGGGCCTTTAAGTGCAGCCATTACTAAAACTTTCCTTTTTTTGAGCGCAGTCTTGGCACACATGCCATTCTTGATCCTATATTATATGATTTCTTCCCCTATTACTGCATGCATTCGATTCCATGCTTTGCCTTCTGTTCAATCAGTCCTTTAGCACATAACTGTTGATGGAGATACACTTATTCCCCACCGGCGTTTTCCCTTCATATTCGCTGGGGATCTGGCTAGTGATCGACGCGCTACTCGGACTCGCTATTACTGTTACTATTAATACGCCATTGTATTCTCATGTTTAACGTTCCAGCGTTGTCGAATTGTTGCTTTTCGTTAGTTCACAGTTATCATAGCTAATATTTGAGCAGTCGTCGGTCGAAGCTAACCAGTAGCTCTGCTTCGCTCTTCCACGGTTGGCGTTCCCCAAATATACGCTGGCCAACAGCAACGTTCATCAGCTATCGGTAGCGCTCGACTGGCGAGTGGCAATTGAGTGAGCGCAGCCGTCGCCGCTGTTCGCTCGGCGACTCTCCAACGGTCGTTGCTAAGTCTGGCCGGCCCTCACCTGCGATAGTGCACAGCATGAGAAGTTGACGAACTCATACCGTTGTTGATACCGCTACGTAGTCGTAACTGTTAACGCTGATACCTATGTTATGCTCGTTGATGGCAGTGATGCTGTTGATGATGATGTGATCGTTCCGTTGGCGTGTCTTTAAAAAAGTTGCTAGCAATAACAGCAACAATAACAGTGACGACGAGAAGAACAACAGCAGGGAAAGTAAGCCCGGAACTCAGCAGAAGCAGCAGCAGTCATCGCCGTCGCCAGAGACCCCTGGTCAATTCAGGAGTGACCGCGGAGTCAGCGCGGCAGGACCAATCGTCATAAAAGGGCTCCTACTATGGGTACCGAGTCGATGAAGACAAGGAGAACATCATAATGGACACATCTCTAGTAGCGTGCGTTGTTGTCGTCGTCGCTGTGGTGGCTAGCCATTGTTGCTGACCATATTGGTCGGTCACAATGGGCCACTCCGGACGGCTACTCTAAACTATTCCGGCCTGGTGCCAACCACTTTCTGACGCTGCTGGAGGACCGCTACAATATAACTTGGCGGAACGGACATCACCAGTGCCACCTCTAACTTGGTCTGCACTAATGGCTGCTGTTACTAGTGGCTGCTAGTGCCGCTGGCAAATAGAAGCATCGAAACATCTGCCTGTCCCTCGTTCGGACTGTCCGTCCACCAAAGCGTTTGTTCATCAGCGTTCTTCTTAGCTGTTCGCGGCGCCGACTATCGCCGTGAAAAGCAACAACGACGATGACAGCAAATGCAGTGTCGTTTGCAATCGCCTTCGGCACGATGCCACAAAGTGAAGTGCATCGGTTATTTGGCACGAGTAGTGGTAGTATTAATGATGGTGCGCGTTACTTTTGTGTCGTTTGGTCTTTCGGCTCATCAGCTGTTACGGACCCGGTCATGACGCCAGGGGGCCGTCTGGCTGGTTAGGTGGCTGGTCAGCAGCTATGTAGCTACGATTTTTTTCACTGGCTTGTGGATAGGGTTCTCGTGTGTGGCCATCTACTGATCTGCCCATATCGGTGTATGTCAATTATCATTGACGACAACGGCGATAGTCCATCAGAATGGCGATCAGAGCCTGCGCAACTCAATTCTGGTACCCGTGGTGAGAGGAAGTGGCCGGCGGCTCTAACATGATAATAAGAATGATGTGAATACGAATAATAATGTGGCATATAATAATAATTTCACTAATAATAAAGTGATCGTAAATAGTGTAACGTCCTAATAATAACGTCCTAATGTAATACATGACATACTGCGATTCTATCGCTTATAACAGTGTCGTTAATGACGACAAGTATACAGTTCCGCGGCAATTTTCGTTGTTGCATGCTATAATAAAGCTACCTCAACATTCGATCGAGGCGGCAGTAGCCACTATTTTACCACTGCCTGTCTTGTAGGCAGTACGAGCAGGTCCTATAATCAGAATAAGTATGGTTGCCATGTGTGTTCTGCGAAAGTTTTCGCAAAATCGCGCTGGTTATGTCTCGTTTGTTGACAACATACGAATGGGTACGAATGTCGACCATCTGCTATACGCGAGACGTGACACATAGCAATACAAGAAGATGTATATACACGGTACTCTTGCAGCAGCGTACAACTTTCTATGTATATGTATATCAGCTAACTTCCGATCGGCAACTTTCGTATGCTTACTCTCTTTCCAGCTCTAACGATATCGAAATTCTTGTGCACATCATATCTGTGATATTCCTAGATTTTTTTATTGCTCAAAGCACCATCAGGCGGTAATTATACTTAATAAGACTTTCGAACAATTTCGGTTACGAGTCACCCTGACGGATAGCCTTCAGTTGCTCTCTCGGTTTCCAGCAGCTTCATATCCATGAGTAGCATATATCCGTGGTAGTAATGCTTGTGTACTGCCAGGTGTCTTAATCTTACCAACAACCTGTAATCGACTGCAGCGATCTTTGAGTTAATTTAATATATTAAGTTACCCCATTAGAAATGCAGAAACCTATTGAAAAACTAGCAACCCGCCTTAACGAAAGTAATTTTTAAAACGCTGATTCAACGCATATTGCGGTCTCTCCTGGACATCGACACATCAACAGCTTTCTTGCGAAATGCGTAGGTGTGTGTGTATGTTTGTGTTTATGTCTGTTTGTGTATGGGTGCGTGTGCCGTCTGCAAGCAGCTTTCCGGACGAAGCTTTCTGTCATCTGCGTTAGCTGATTTCGGTGCCTGTTTAGGTGCGCAAACAAGCGATACAAGTAGATTGTGAGGCTTCGTCGGTATGTTTTACCTTTTTTTCTAATACCATGTATCCTTTTTTACGCAAAATGGTTTGAATGGCATACTGAGTTGAGTTCATTTTTACCCTTCGCTAAGAATCAGATTATAGTCCTATTTCTGTGCTGCACTTCATGCTAATCCGTAGGTGTGGTCCAGTTTTCTCGTAACGCATCTGTAAGGCCGATTCGGGTACGAACTCAACCGTTAGCAATACGACTAAAAAGTGCACTATTTATGTAAGATGTGTATGCGTATATGTGCTCTGCTTTATCATCATTTGTTTTTTTCGTTGTTCATTCACCATTTTTAAGTTTTCAAGGGTATATATGGTATGGTGGAATATATATAAATACGAGTAGTTCACCCTTTACAAGATTTGCTAAAAAAAATAACAAAGCTAAAGAAATACTACGCGACAAATAAACGCACGTGTGTGGGTGTATTCGCGTAATTACGTTCTCTTTCGTAGATCCTTGGAACTACTTTCGTTCAAATCCTACCGATGCTAAAGTTTAAGAGACAACTTTCACACGATAATGTCATTTTATTTAGCAGAATGGTGTGCTTGGCAAATATGACAACTCTGTTCGCATGTGTCGTCATATAGAACCACCTTACCTATTGATACAAAAAATTATGATTATTAGTACGCATTTAGCTAAATTCCCCATCTCAAAATGTACTTTATAACAACAACTAGACTAAATCATCTTAGTTTGGCAATTGATTATTTTCAAGTTAATATAAGTGAAATTTGGTTCTTCTTTTTTTTGGTAAAAAAATAAGCGGATCTGCGGCACCCGGTTACGTAATGTTATTTTACTTGTCAGCTGGCTGCATTTGGTGTCTCGGCTTGTTAAATGTCTAGTTCAAGACGTGAATGGCATAAAAATTACAGCAAATGCATACACGCTCACTGATCGACCGATATGCGATCTGAACCGTTGTTTGGCTACCTTAATTGATAGAGCTAACTTACTTTAAGCTAAAACAACGGACAACTTAAACAACACTAGCAACAATGGCAGCAGCAGAGAAACTGGCCCAGAACACTCTAGCTTAGGCAATGCTAGGGACCACGAAAGTCATTGTTGCTGTTGTCAATGTTGAAACGCATAAATATAAAAAAAAATAGTGTGCACCATAGGAAACATCACAGTAAGTATTTACCGTAAATCAGTTATATTACACAAACGCAGGCGCGCATTTTTTAAAATTTGTGTTATATATAAACATTATGAGAATAGTGATGTATTCGTTTCCTACACTCCCCTGACTGAACAATAAGAATCTTTTATGTCTAATTCTTGGTCAAAAAAGATCAATAATTAAGCAGTTAAGTGTATCATCAACGAAGTATTAAGTTTCAGAAACGCACACAAAAGACCACATGGACCATCATATGACAACGATTCTAACGGCACTACGAGTGGGAACTAACGCTGGTGCACGAAAGCTCGTCAATTTCCTTCTGCTTTTCTTCACACCATTTACATCACTTAGGCACGTCAATGATGGCGAAAGTTATATGCGAATTTTCACTAACGGGAACCGTCTATGTTAATAGTAGGAAAGATTCAATCACGAAAGTTATGCAGTGGTCATCTTTAACAGATCGTTTGCAGCACTTCAACTCAGCTAAGATGTATTGTATTTGTCCGATGTAATGTCTAAGTGCAGTTCTGGTCGTAAAAGCTGAATTATTTTTTAAGATAGATAAATCGTCTGTGTTTGTTTTACAAATAAGACGTAACACACACAAATATACGGACTCGGAGACGTTGTAATGTGCGATGTGTTTACGCCGGTCTTGTGAGCCCGCCATTATATATGTAAAGAGGGTATCGCAACGACAGTGAAGTCGCATTGGCAGCTGCTGGAACTCAAGTACTGTTATCAACCTATACAAAAACAATAGAAACAATACTTATATTTCCTAAAAAACAAAGAACAATAACAGCCTCTTGTGCACTGTAGTCCCTGCCTTATGACAAGTGATGGCAGCACGTGGCGGTGAAGATGATGCTGATAATGATGGCTGTTGTGGTCCCATTTGTTACCGATCGAACAGTGATGACGGTGACGGTAGTGGCGACGCTGCCCCCGTATTGTTGTTGTTCTTATGTAATTTTTTGTATGCGGTGCTGGCGTGTGAAGCGATAGGAGGATAACAGGAATGAGCGTGTGCCACGGTCGCCAGCACTGCAGGAGTGTAGATGAACGATCTGCTCCGTCTCAATTCACAGTTCGCCATAGGTGGCTCTGTGTGTTAAGCGTTTGTGTTGTGGAAAAACTAGCGCATGCGATGCATGCCATGAAGTGTGGGTCCGTTCTCCGCAACCGTTGTCCTTTGTTGGAATCGCTGCAGTCCCGACACGCTCATTTCTTAAATATTCAAGTAACACAGACGGAAGCGTTGATGATCAGCTGATACGAGTAATACTTTAGTAAAGATATCAAAGCCAACGATACCTCAACGATACAACTATTGGTACACGGACAGAATTAACAAATCGCGAACCATTGCGGAATGCTGGGTGCTAAATACGCACGGTAGACTATGAGGTTTTTCATAAGCTGAGAGAGTATTGTAGAAAAAAAATTCTGTTTCGGTAAGCATTATATTATATAAATATGGAAATAAATCAGTACCTACTCCGTTAAGTATTTAGATCCGTTCTTTCGTTTAGTACCAAAAGCTTATAGAAAGTGCTTATTATAAGCACGTACATTTTTCGGCTATTCGTCATTGCTATGTATTATAAGATTATGGTGTCGGAACCAATTTGTCGAAGTGGTATCAGAGAATTTGGGTGCAGCGCAAATTTGTATTATTATTACTATTATCACACTCCCCGACGTAAGACAATAACGCCTAGCGTCGAGGAGTGTGTTCATATGTATAAGGTATAGATGTGGCCCGCTATTCGAAAATATAACAAGACAGCATATAAGAGAGCAGATTATAGTGAAAAGACAGTTTATTTATACTGCATACGTATTTAGTGGGAATTAATTAACGCTGTGATACTGAGATATTGCATCCAACGGTTCTGTTATACAAATGACTCTTACGAGGTATTTACTATCCAGCTTTAAACAAGATCCACAATAATGAATTAGTGATTTTTTGCTTAAAATTGATGCCGCCTGTGGGATTTTATGTGGTCGAGCAACTAAAATGTCCTCCAATGAATGATACAAACGTAATATAATAATAACGCGTTTGCCTGCTACATATGAGGTGGCCCGAGCGTAAATATATTTCGTACCCAACAAAGACCTAGCCGCCTGAGTGCTTAGTGGCAATACTGGACGTAAAACTCGCACTATTTATCTAGTTTAGAGTACGTCTTTACTTACTTTTAAATTCGCTCGCTTACAAAGAAAACACCACATAACCAAAAATTTATGAAGGTTTCTCTGTCACTATTATGCGCTCGCTCGACTTTACAAGCTGTGCTAGCTTCACAAGCTGCGAAGTGCACACACAGAAATAGAAAACTAATCACAACATTAGCCTCTTTTTCAGTTGTCTGTTTTTTAAAGATGCCGTACATGTTTCATATCTGAAAACGGAGTAGTATAGCAAAATACTGGATACAGCGTAAAAACTAGAAGAACTTGTATTTCAACGGTGACTCAACATTATCCACCAACCGATTTACCCAAATTTTGTTTAGATTAATTTCATGAATACCATTTCGCTGTCCCCCTAGCTGGATTCGAAACGAGATTGGTAAGACCGTTTTGTTATATGACATAAGCGGTGCTCTCGGTGCAGTTCTCGATTCGTTAAAGGAGAATATAGGCTCGCGACTCCGCGTCAATGCACAAAAGGCTTTTTTTTCACGCCGTTTCAGATTTCGGCATTGGTAAGCTGACAATTTACTAAGCTTTTTCACGAGTAAATATCAGGGGTATAAAAACAAAAATTGATTTTTTAAACTTCGGTGAAACAGGTGGTCTAATAGAATCGTGTACGTTTCATAAAGTTGTAGCTAGCATGAAATTTTAACAAATTTTGATAAACATCTTCAAAATCAAGGAAAGTTAGCGACTCCGCCCATAGAACAAAAGCTGTTACGCCCGTACGTTCGATAAATGCAATGCATAAGGGTCCGGCATCGATGCATGATAACAATATTTTTAATTTTACAGTCATTTTGAGAGCAGCAATAAAGTGACTCAATGTAAACTTGATTATAAATACAACTTATAAGTATATATATATATATATATAAGCAAAAGAGTAAAGTATATATTATACATTCTACTCTTTTGCTGATATTCTGTTGGGTTCTCCTTATGTGTTTGAACTGATCGATTTGATTGCTTGATAAAGAAAATAGTCTTTGGTAACGCCACGAATTCACACCTTTTGCATTAGAAGATATTGCAATAATCTTACACAACTTACTCCAAAACTGAAAAACAAATTACAGGACGACTTCGGCGAAAATCAATTGGCTCTGTGAGCGATGTTGAGAACAAAGCTAATATATCATTGCTTCATTTTTTGCATTTTGTGTTATGCAATAGTTACAGCATTAAATAATATTTCGCTAATAGGGAAGAATATATCGGGTACTGAAGGATGTTATAGAGGATATTCTATAGGAAAACAAATGTTTGGAATATTGCAAAATCACACCGGGTAATGGTAAAATGGAACGCAATTAGGTGTGATGAAACACGATTGTCAATAATGAGCTATTTTTGAAATCTGCAGCGAGAGTGGCGTTTTCAGAGTTCGGTGGTACCAGTTTTGGTTATCTGAATGTAACCCGTTCTACAGGATTAGGTCAAATGCGTGACTCAGAAATTTAAAAGGTAATGAAAACGTTTGGGCTACAAACGTTCATGAGGTGTATTGCTTTGACGTTGACCTAGGCACTGTCACGAAGGTAGTTCTCCCGTCATGCGACGCGAGCTTAACTTGCTTTTTAGAGATCTGCTGTAATCGGAATATGTTGAGGTGCATCCTTATTCCAGATAGTCGACAATTTGGAAGGATCTGTGCAATGAAAATACCAAGTGAACTTGCATGGTTGCATGATTTACTCTTGAGCATGTTTATCATTCACTTTTTAGGTTAGTCCAAAGAACGTGGTTAGAGAAGATGCTGTTTTTTCCGCGTATAATGGATCCTTTATAATTGAACTAGACCATGTAAAAATGTACTGTATTTAGCGAAATGTAAACAGCAAGATGTGTCTTTAAGTGAATGCTGACGCTTAAAGGTTACGGTTTAAACCGACTTTTCGGACAACGTTTTTGATTATGCTACGAAAGTCTGTTTTTTTTTTAAATAGTAATGCAGTTACTATGATGATTGAGCTAGCATACTCGCTAGTTTTAGATTCTCTCATTATAAGTTGAGATTCGATCTTTTCTATACTGTGTACAAGCGACTCTGTGCATGTCGATTCTTTTCATTAATCTATTTTTAGAAATATAATATCGACGTTTGCAAATCCACTATTTCTCATAGGGTTGTAATCAAACATTGTGCGATTAATTTGAAAGTATTACTGAAATTCGAACACCTCTGGGTCGTCTTACGGTAATCATCCAAAAATATTCTTCCCAAATACTGTACACCAAAGAAGTGAGTTGGTCTCGTGTTTTGCAGTTACTTTGATAGGACTACGGAATAATACTAAACATGTAACACTTAGCATTGAAAACATAGTTCTCCATGTTAAAAGCTTCCTGATTAATCCATGACAATCGCATCCATATACCTACGTGTTTAATAACTTAAATACTATCGTTATTAGCATTCAAATATATTTTTTGCTGAAATTCTGAATTTTGAAGAATGAATTTTTTGCTGAGGTCGTCTGTTATATATTACTATAAGTTAATAAGATTCTCCGGTGTATGCTTTGTCGCTATTTTTGCAGATGACCTGTTATGCATTATTTGTGCCAGCATTTCGTCGACCAATCGACGTTACCAATTGAACATTGTCAGTCATTTAACAGTGTACAAAATAAAGATCATTCTCTCTCTTTCTTTCACTCTATCTCGTTCTATCTTTCTCTCATTCAAAGGCGATGAAAGCCTTAATAAAGTGATTGCACCTGATATTAATTGAAAGAAAAAAAAGTTAAAATATTTAGCTTTTTTTTTCAATTTCGTTTTTCAATTCGTGAAGAAGCCCGGCTGCAAACCGACGGCAAAACCTGTTCGACGGTAACAAAATCGACAATTTATAAGAAATATCGCTTATCAAATTGTTTGTCAAATTATGGTAATGTTGTGCTTGTACGTGGCTTACACACGTTTACGTGACATTATTTCGTCTCTGCATGCGAACCAGACCAATTTAACAGTGACTTCATTGTGATTTGTTTCAGCGATGAGGTGGAGGCTGTGGAGACTCGAGCTGTCACACACCAGGAATCGCCACAGTTAGCTAATAAGGTGAGTAATGAAGAACAGCTAGTAATTAATATGTTATTTATTTGTATAGCAAACAACCAGATGCTGTGGAAGTGCTATATCATATTCGTCTACTCATCATTGATCAATCTGACCAGATACAGGAGCAACCTCGAAATGACTGCTATCGCCACACGACAGGCTTAAACCCAATTCATTCTCCTTAGAGTGGCTTGCCATCGGTATTCTTGAGGCTGCAAAAACCTGCGTATTGGGATGTCTATAGTTTTCTACTGGCGCCATTCGTTTAGATTGATGCAGGCGCCGATAGTTTTTATTACACGACCGTTCAAAAGTAAAATTCTCAATGGGAAAAATGGTTTTGCTCGTTAACCCAACAACATTATCGATTGTTTAAACCAGGTCGTGCGTCTGTCTGCGTGAATGTATAACCCACATTGTGGATCCTTATTGAGCTATTAGCTGTTTCCTATAATTACTCGTTATGTTTGCATGTTATGTTCGCTGGCCAATCACGTCGAATCGCAGAAAATGATTTATTTTTTAGCCCTCACTGCAATAGTTTGCACTGCAACAGAACATTTACACAGTAGTTGACAACCCAGGACCAACTGTTTTTCATTATATATTATACATCTGTTTCTCCACATAAACTATCTACATTAATATAGAGAAGCAAATGTATAATATATAATGTGCTGAATGGATTTCAGTGGATACAAGTGAAGTAAACACTTATAATATTGATGCTGGATTCTTCCGATACTCGTGTTTTATGACAGACATTCGCTTAATTATTAATAGATCAGGTTGGTCACTAATCGCTCCAGATTTATCTTCTTAGGTTTTCACTATAATGAGGAATTAAACTCCGCCGCCTGCTGCGCGTGTCATATATACTTTTTGGTCTGTTGAATTTTCCGAACAAGAGTCTTTGGAAACCAGCTTTTCTGCTTGTCCTTCGTTAAATTCATACTAAAACTGCAACGTTACGAGTCCAGCCTATGGTCACATACGGCCATGAATCCAAATTGTGTAATCTTAGACTTCTTGATGGCCGTATTTGAGTATCCTGAAGTGCTGCCGAATGTGTATAATAAAAATTAGTTAGTGTTAGTTTTATGTTTTGCGCAATGACAGTTGAAAAAAATTCAATGTCAACCTTTGCGTCGAGTCGTAATCACTTTAGTTTATATGTATCGTTTTTATGTGATTCGCTAATTACTCCTGTTTCGTTATGTACATGCATCTCTGTGGTTTCGTAGAGCTGTTGCGCTTGCTTACGTTACGTACAAAAACGACCACGTAAACTGTAGCGTATAGATGGGTGCGGCGTTTTCTCGATTTACTTTACAAAACCCGCAACAAGAGACGCTGTGACTAGCGCACAGCGCTTAAGCGGAATCAACATGTAACGTAACTAGGCGACGGGTTGTTATTTTGATGGGAATTGATTAATTGACTGAATAAGTATTGACAGCTAACAAAAGCGTTATGATGGCAAAACATCAATACTGTCCGTTTGGAGCGCTTTCATCGTCCGGTAGAACCGAGTAGAACTTGGCAAAAGAGGACACTTGCGAAGTACTTTCAAAGTAATTATAGACCTCTATGCGTGATGTACTTGAATATGGCTCTCTAGATGCGTCGCTCAAGAGCATACTTCAATAATACATGCACCTCGTAGATGTCTCAATCATTGCTGCGGAGACCACCGGAAACAAGGTTCTAGTCACTTTGTCTATTCGTCATTTGTCGACTTTACAACCAACGTGTATACAGAATGTGAAAAATCACTTTTCACGAGAAGCATAACCAGTTGCTTGTATGAAAATGTGTGTCGTTGGGGAGCATTTTTGTTAGCCCCAATTATCAACAGTGTTAAAGCGGAAATATTAAGCATATTGAATCCAGTTGAGTTTCCAGAGAGTGGTTCAACTGGATGTGATGGGGTTAGATAATAGGTTAAATATGAATGATCAGCTACCTTGAAACATGTATAATCGTTGCAATAGAACGGATGCGTATAAAGTTTCGTTGCAAAATAACATAAATTAAATGAAGAACATGGCGGAAAAAGTGGTCGAGTGAGGTCCAATATTGCAGTTATTAAATTTTTCGGTCTAGTTTTTCTTGCCCACAAGCACACAGTTGGTTCAGGGCCGCCAATTCTCTAATTAGTTAATGTCTGTCTTATAAAGGGCCGCAAAAATGCAGCGCCTTCTTCATTATCGCTACTAGGTGATCCACACTTGGTATTTTAGTAACAGGTTTAATAGAAATCTCGCGATCGCTTAATAAATCACCTTCTACCAGCATCAAATACTAGTACAATAATGCCAGGGGCCATACGGAAGTACCTGCCTAAACTGTGAGCGGGTTCTTGTATAGGCTGGTTTAGCCCCAGTGGCTCGTACTTGTCCCTCTTTCCGATAGCTGAACGCTGTGGCTTGAATCAGCATATTCATTCAAGCTGAGCTTCTTAACTTTCGTATCTTGTTTGTTTGGGCGGTAAAATGGTTCAGTGTTAAGAAAAACACATCCAATTAATTATATTAACAAAGATGTCATCTGTTTTATTTTGAGCCGGAAGCAACTGTACTTCCTTCATTAACTGGAAATAAGCTTCGCGCCACAAATTAGTATGCTGTATATTGCATCTACTAAAGGCAGATGTCGCAAATTCTTGGTTGGCTTACCCATTGGGCATAGTGAATGTGAAGAGCTGTATTGTTGTAACTTCTATGATATTTATGGTGCTTCTATGATATTTATGGTGCACTACGTACGTGGCAAGGTCCGGTCAGATATATTGAACACGATAATACCGTTGTACGCAGTAATACTCAAATCTGTTTATACTAGAGATGTTCATTGTGCCCTATTATCTCAGGGAGTCGTACAGGGGAATGTTTCACTTGGTCCACGGGGAGGCATTCTGCAGTTTTTAAAGATCAATTTAAAATGTTTGTTCGATCATTCTCAACCTTTTCTTATATATTATTATATATAAGAAAAGGTTGAGAATGGCAATATTTGCACGAATAGACTTGGGCCGTCTCGAGCTTGAACAGCGGAAGGTGCCTCGAACAAGAAATGAGTTAGTCTTTAGAATAATCCTATCGCAGTGACATCCTACAAAGACGTAAACATGTTTCCAGAATAGTTATACAAAAGTGGTGTCCTACAAAAACTAGAGTCGATATTCTGACAGGAGACCAAAGCGGAGCGGTTTGGAGAAGTAGTGAATCAGTGATTCTGGGTAGGTAAAATTAGGCTCAGACGCAGAACGCTAATTTATTTTAATTAGCCTCGGTTGATCGGTTTGAACTAGTTAACGGAGATGATCCTATTATGTAACACATACGGGGAATTAAAGTGACGTGGAAATTTGCTAGTCAGTTTTTCATTAGCCTTAACAAAGAAGAACAATGACAAAATCTATGAGCTAGTAAATAGCAAATTGAAGAAAAACAATTAGCTGGCTCGATAATAAACTAATAAAGTAATAATAATACAGTACACTAGATCTTCCCTGGCCAATTTTTACTTGAATATTTAATTTCTCTCATATAATGCATATGTAACTGTTCAAAGACGGCGTTGCATCGCTTCCATGCAGTTGAAGAAACTAGAAGAAGCAGGGACCAAAAGCATCGTAATGCATCGAATGATTCAAAAAGCTTATCTACATCTGTAACGCAAACAGTAGCACCTAAGTGATCGTGTCAGTTACCGAAATGTCGCTGCCGCATGTTATTCTTTTCATTATTCATAGTTATAGCGCTGCTATACGCAATATTCATAGCGTTGCGTCTATTATTGCCCCCATCGCGGCTGATGTCGCTACTGATTTCTCTGCCATTGAAATTCGTTCGTCTTTTTGATGAACCGCGGCGGCCGATGCTGCTGATGATGATTATCGCGCCGATGTGCTTGCCATTGTGACGGTGGCAACTGCCCGTAGCCGTTGGCTGCTTTTTGCGCGAATGGGGTGCTTATTTGGGCGAATGAATTGGTGCTATCGACTACTGGTTAAGTGGATGATGCCGATGATTTTAGCCGTAACAGCGTTGGCCGTATTTGCCGTTGTGGCTGAATTTTGAAATTATCGAAACAAACCTGCGCGGGCGCGCGCGCGCGCGTGTGCGTCTACACACAAAACCGAGCGCAAACAGACAGATCCATTCACACACGTAGCTTAGTAAGGTGCGTGGTCCTTGAAAAAAGGACATTTCTAACTTTTTTCTTCATTGCGAAGCCGATGAAAATGACGACGCAAAGGAAGAGCAAGGAGATGCGGAAAGATGCTACAGAAAGCGCTGGGCGATGATCGCTCAAACGACGAATGAACGACCAAACAACGATTCAAGTATCCAATTCTCTGGTCGTTGAACGGTTCGGTTCATCTGACAGCTTTATGTCATGATGTCAGCTACAGCAGCTTTGGCAATTGCAGTGGTGTGTGCTTAACAGTTGCCGGCGTACACAGGCGGTCCACAAGAGTCACCACTGCCATTGGCGATGCATCGGATCGAGCATGGATCCGGCAACTCCACCCATCTACGGGCGGAGCTTTTTGAAATCGTCAACCTCATTTGCCTTCATAACAAAATTTGCTCGTTTACCATGGATGACGAAGCGCCACAAAGTGCCGCTGGCAAAACTTCCATCGCAAGAACCCACGAACACCAACAGAAGCACTATGATGGTAAAATAGATTTTAAGCTGCTTCTAGAGAATTCTTTTACAATGCTCTAATTTTTCTGTAAAACGAGAAGCAGTAATACTGTAACATGCTCATCGTTTTTCGTAAGAGCAGTACTTACCAAGTAATTGTCATTAGGATTTTGTGTATTATTCAGCGATGCTGTGCGTATATCTGTACGTATGGCTGCGGCTAAACAAGTTTCTGTCAAAGATGGTGCCAAAGGTCATGCTATAACCACGGATCGGCTCATTCGGCAGAAGTTAGTAGGGTTGACGTAGGGTCGATAAGATCCCATCAACAGAGGTATTCT